TCTCCTGTGTGTTCTAGGCAGCTGTGGGGCAGAACTAATAAATAACTGTTAGCAAGTGACAGTTCCCAAACCTACCAAGTATTTACTGGAAAGTGCTAAACAGTCCAAACGTCTCAAACAGTTTCTCTGTGCTAATTGGCCAAGCCACAGACTTCTAGCAGTCAGCTCCTGATACCAGTCGACAGCAAAATCAATGTCTGTTGCCTAAAGATGCATTAGCGACAAAGCCTTCTCAGGAAGTTTAAATCAGAAGGCAGCATGAGCTCCTAATTACATCTCCCTAAGAATTCAGCAGAGCTGTTTCTCTGAACTCATGGCTGGTTCTCAATTTTAAATACATGCAAGGACAAAAGAAAAAAAAATGTTTCTTTGAGGTGGTAAAAATAAATTGGCAATTATTTTAATGTCTATTGAAATTTGATAGAGTACTGAAATAATTTTGTGAAACCCTTAGATCACTCAACTTATTCTGACTCCTCTTTTTCTAAACTTGACTTGCATACTTGGAATTACTCATCAGAAATTTCTTTCTCTTCACTCCTGATATGTACTAGCACCACCACTAAATTAACACATAAGTAATGTAATCTTTGTGAGAGGAGAGTGTGAAGTCTGACCTTTTTCCTGTGATCACGATCAGAAAACCTGCAGCTAGTCAAGAACTGCCTCATTCAGTCTGTCTTGGCAGGAGTATCCTGCTGGGCCGAGCAGCTCCTGCTGACAATGTTACCAGTGTTGGGGCAGGGCTCAGGGAGGTACATTAGGCCATCCCATTCCACAGCAGCAGCCTTCAGGAGGGAGGTTATTTCACTTGTCCAATTTAATAGGAATAGGACTGCCATAACAGACTTGATACTAGCCTACCACCTCTTCTTTTAAAGGATATTTTAGATGCACCTTGAGGTGAGGACACATCACCCAATGATAAACTGTCAGCAGGAAACAACACATTACAGAAAGTAATAATGGAAGTTTTGTCCTTATGTGGCAAATATAAGATCCATCTGCTTTGCTTTTGTTCTAGAGAGACAACAAACCTGGCTGAAAGGTCAGTCAGGTCTATAGGTTTACTTGTTCAACAAGTAACAACAATTCTATCCATTTACCACAAAACATCTCTTTCCCAATAGGTATTTTTTTCTCTTTAGAGCCTACCACAAGGAACCTTTTTCAACTGGAACCCACTACAAAACATCTCTTTTCCAAAGAGCTTAGTCATCTTCAAGATGAGTTTCATAATATATAAGCCAGTACACTGCTCTCTGAACACATTATTTGCTAATGTCAAACAGCATTGCTGCTAAAGAGATGGGCAGGTGTGGAAGATACGGCTCATTATTTAAATGTTTAAACATACTAACAAAGCATTGCCATGCCTTTGAGCTTTTCTCTCAGACAAATTGTGGATAAATCAGGGAAGGGAGTAACCTGCTGCTTTGCAGGAGAACGATCCCCAGCAGGAAAGTGCTTCATCAGTGCTGAGCACCACAGCAGCTCACAGGATCACAGGCAGCAGCTGTGAGGAGGACCAGTGTTGGTGAGATGAGTGTTTGACTGACAAGCCAAACAGCTCACACTGGAGCAAACAGCCAGGTGGTACAGAAGAGCAGAACTCACTCCCCACCAGCCTCCAGCTACAAGAGACTTTATGCTGCAGAAAGGGGTTATAAAGGTGGTCTGGCTTCCTGGGAGGGGCCCCAAGGAATTACCAGGCCTGGTAATTAACCACCAGGACAGGGCTGGACAGGGCATGGGTGGAGTTTCAGGCTTGCTATGGAAAGATCTCCACAGGTGCTTCAGTGATCTCAAGTAAGTAGAGTCTGATTTTCCTCTCAGCCTAAAAATGACATTTTCTGCTGCTTCATGTTCCTTCACATGCTGGACACTGCCTCAGTACTTTCTCAGAGGCAAAAGTATTAAAAACACTACACCTACACTACATAATATTTTTTCATCCTTGCATTGCAGAATCTTTTATCAGAATCTTATCCTAGGGTGACAGACTTTTAATGTAGCTGTGCCCTTGTGCTAGTATGCAGTCAGTTCAAAATTTCTGTTTTTGTTTTAGGTCCTACTCTAAATTACAAGCCAGGGTATAAATTAATTATAATACCTTGTGTTTCCCTCAAATGTGATTTTTCAGCTCAAACCAGCAACATAAACTGGAAATTCTGTAAGAAACATGAAGAAAGCAAGTATCAAGTATGATAATTTACTTCACGTTAGTCAGATCACTATGACACAAGTATGAACCAACTTCCAGCCCCAATGAATATTAGAATTTATATTTTCTAAAAATTATTCCATAAAGAAGCTCCAAAACAGTCCCTTGGTCTAGAGGCATCTCCTTCCAAATGTCCAACACTACATTGTTTGTAGCTGTGGATGCAGCCTTGCCTACGACTCTACATAGTTCTGTTCCGCAACTCTGTAAGTCCTCTGGAGTGAAAGGGAAGCCCTTCTCCCTGTACTTGCTTCTGCAGGCAGTTGTTGGGCACAGAAAGCCTGAGAGAGGCACAGCTCCCTTACACAGGCTGCTGCTGAAGGCTGTGCTACCTCCAAAGCTGGGAGGATCTCAGTAATGTGATGTTACAGTCAGTTTTGTTTGCAGGAAGTGCTCACAGTGACACCCACCCCTCTCCATCACAACCTTTTTAAATAGCAAAGTGTTAATAGATAAGCCAGAGGAGGAATTTATTCTTTGGACAGATGTGCCTAAAAGGAATGGATGAATTCTTTCTACCTGAGATTCTGCCTAATTAATCGGGGCTGCTCAACACACAGACAAAACTCTGGGAAAAATAACAGCCTTCATTTTTGGACACCAAATAATAACAAAAAACATTGGTTATGTTCCTTGTAGAGGTGATGTGTTAATTGATCCCACTTTTTGTGAATTCTGCTTGGGCTTCTCTTTGGAACCAGGAAGTGCATAATAACCACATACAGACTACATATGTGACTGGGAGCAAGTAAGCTTTGTTCATGTTCCTGAGATCCTGAAAATAGGAGTTCCAGTAAATCACACCTTTGAATAAATCAAAACTGGGAAGCTATGCAAATGTTTGGCCAGATTTTCTATTAGGACTGTGTGGGATTACATATGCAACAATTACCACAGAGCATGGTTGATATCATGATCCCCAGGGTTGACTGAATCCACTGAGATGGCAGATTTGAGACAGAGACCTATTTTAATGTTACAGCACCCAGGTGATGCTTATAAAGGCAGACAATTCTTTCTTTACATGCAGGTGCATTTTCAGTTCAGTCAAATGTGTGGTAATCAGAACTGACAGAGCTTTAAAAGTACTGACATTCTGTTGTACAAATTACAGTTAATGTATTTGCTGTTTAATGTATCTTCATTGTGGCCATGTCATAATCCCTGCTTAAAGGCTACTCGATCTAAATCCTGCCACTTTAGGGAATCATGTATGATTATTATGCTTGTTTTATTAAAGTCCTCTAGATATTTGTTTACCTTATTAATATATTTCACTGCACATCAATACAGATTGCTCCCTATTAGTTTAGCCATGCAATATAATTAGATTTGTCTTGTCTCAAACAGAATTGTGTTTATAAGCAGGGATATGGTGGGTTTCCCAAGTCTAGGTGTATCTCAGACTTCAGTCTCAGCTAGTTGTTTTGTTCTTCAAGTCCTGCTTACTATTTGGGAAAATCTTTGCTTTGTGTATGTTGTCTTACCTGAAAATTGTCATTACTGAGCTCTGATGTGTCTGCTTTATTAGCATAATTTGTTCTGCTGATTAAATCTTAGTCATAGGGAATAATTTGTCTAGAGGTGAACATAAAGACTTGCTTTGCCTGCAGCTACATACTGCATTTGAAAGTCAGAAGCCAAGGAGTTAAATTCCCATTTAACATTCAGGCTGACCCTTTCAAATAATCCTCAGTGATTTCCATTTGCACAATTGTCAATACAAGTTTTTATTTCTGAAGCTTTACAATGGCAGTGGCATTTTAGCCCTCATTTTTATACACTATAGGGAAACTAAGAAAAGAGAGAAAATGAAATATCCTAAACCATACAAATTTGTTCCAGAAATCATCTTGGTTTTCCAGATTTGTAACACTGAAAATCTGAGCCTTGAAAACTTCACTTTCTCGGTACTTGCAGGACATGGGCACTCTCCATGCTGGGTGCTGGTGTTGTATGACTTAGGTCAGGTCTGGAAAAGAAATTCTGCCCCTGAGACTACTAGAACAGGAAAAAAGGGGTAGTTTAAAATAGTTAGTGTTTTCTTTGTGCATGATTTTTTATTTTCTCTTTCACATTTCTTCTGAAGCCTGAGGCTGTACTGCCAGCATCCTGTAGATTTGCTTGGCCCACAAGGAAGGACATGCCATGAAGCATCTCCTACAGACAGGATCCTAGATTCAGTGCTAGAATTCTGTTTTTCAGATTAGAGATGGCCATTAGGGCTGCTTTGACTTTGTACAATATTGAGAATAAACATATTTAAAAATTCTGCCTTTGCTTTCTGATTTATTTGGGCATGATAGCATTTGACTTAATTTCATATGAAAAATTTTCATTGACATAAAGTAATTTAAATTTAAAGCAGTACTGTAACTGCTACTTAATGATAATTGAAATGTCCTATTATTTATATCAAAGTAGATATTTTATTATAATTAAACAGCTGAACACTTTTATGTGAAACTGATATTTGCTAAATTACAATAGGAAATTCCAACTGCTCTATCACATTATAGATGTACCAGTACTGAATATTGGTATATATGTATACATGGTACCAGTAATGAATATTGATTGTGCATAAATAACTTCAGATAAGTAATGGAGAACACAATAAATAGATTTTCATATGTTAGAGTTTTGTGAATTTTTATTTTATTTAATCTGGTCAAAATTTTCTTATCATCTTTGTATCATCGACTTCCACTGAAATCTCTACTTTGTTTTAAAGCTTTCTAGAAAACAGTCTGAAGTCTTTTCTTTTTTCTTGCAGGTGTGCAATGGTTTAGAGCAGCCCAGGAAGCAGCAGCGTTCAGACCTCAATGGCCCAGTTGACAATAACAATCCCCCTGAGGTAGGTACCTGGGGCTGCCAGTTGTGCTGCCTGCCTTCCTGCAGCCAGGCTCCCAGCAGGAAAAGCAGCCCTCACACTATCAGCCTTCTCTCTCTCATGTACACAAACCTAGGCTCCTTTTCTTTTCCTGAACTGACAATAAATATCATATCTGCCTACTCTGAAAAGGCTTTGAACTATACCCATGAATTTTTGCTGCCTCATCCATTTTATGTAACTGTCTATGGCATGTACTCAAGCCTAAAATTTTCTGACGACACGCAGAGTAGGGAGAACACTTCAAAAGTTCTCTTTTTGGATTATTGGAGTGCAAAAGTGGCATCCAAAAGAAATCATGTTCTGATTCCATTCCTCCCCCACCCTCTCCCAATGTCAATCCTGGCTTAGTCAGCTGTGAAGAGACACAGTGATTGACAGACCTGCTCTTGTCACTGAAGACTGGAGCAAAGACATCTGAGAAAGCAGAATGAGTTATGCTTGGGGCTAGACACAATGAAATGAAATTGAGACTTAAAAGCAGAACTCTCTTATCTCAAAACCATAACATATTTAGCCTGTAGCCTGTTAAATTAACGAACAGGCACATTTCTAAAGCCTTTTCCCATAATGGAGAAATCAGCCTCTTTCCTGGAAATGGGAATGATTGAGGAGGCTGGCAAAAGACAAAGAATGGAAGGACTGTATCTGTTCATTGAGACTAGGGACAGTAGCCTAAGAAGAGCACTGTTATGTCCCCTGCTAAGATTAAGTGTAATTCTATGGACTGAGCAGTCAAGGACAGTTCTTGTCCTTCACTGACCCAGAATCTTGCTTTGTAAAACATTGTTAAACATTCTTTATTGGAAATTTGGGATATCGATAATGGGCAATGTGATCTAGTAGGCAACTGATTGTATTGGGAATTGCTGGTTTGTATTGTTCATTTGATATCTGACTTCCCAGTCCATTTTTATGGTCTCCCCCATGCCTCCCTTGTTTTTTTGTCTGGTGGGACCTTAAAATACTTTGAGACTCCAGAGTACAGAGCACTGTGTAACAGGTTGGGTTAACGACTGTGATGTAATATGTTCAGTGTGCTAAACAGTGCCTATGTGACAGTGGTCAGCTGTTTAAATATAATTACAATTCACTTCATTGTGTGAAAGTTATTTTGTTACAGCTATACCATTTTTATTTCTCAACAGACAAAGAAAGTGTCTTCCTTTCCAAGTTTTGTTGATGGTAAGTTTGACATGCATACTTAAAGCAGGATAAAGTGGAAGCAAATACTTTAATAAATATAAAATATCACAGTTCTAAAAACCAGTCAAACCCAAGAGAATACAGCTGAGAAGTATGGAAGTATTTAACATTTTCACCCTCCTTATGGAAATGTCACCGCTAGGCAATGGGTGCCTAGTGGTGACAAAAAGGAGGAGCAGGTAGAGCTCCCAGAAGGATTCAGGTGAAAATTAAGAATGGCTACAAATCTGTAAGGGGTTAAAAAGGATGTAAGAGTGGGCCCCAGCAGGAGATTTATGAATATGTAAGAGCACTGTGTTCTTCAGGGCCCATTATTGCACTCTGGGAACCTCAGTTGTCTGCACAAATTGAAAGGTTCTCCTGAAATGACCAAACAATGGTAATCCAGCCCTCTGTTCAGGAGCTTTCACATGTTTCTTCAACTTCTTCTGCAGTGCTATTACATATATTCCGTTTGAAGAAAAATAAGTCAATTTATTAACCAAAGTAGATGAACAGAAATAAAACAGGATTGTACTGAAAAACATTACCATTCTCTGATTCACAGACAGATGAAGAACTTTTTATAGGGAAAATGCACACAGCTCTTCCTGCAAAGCAAATGACTACACTGTAAAATGAGAAAAGACAGTAGGATACTTTCAAGACACCAATACCTTAGATCTGCCATGAACATACACAATAGAAGCCTTAAAAGAATGTGAAAAAATTTGTAATGCCATTCTCAACTCAGGGAAAACTTAATGCAATTTAGAATAATATTAGGATGTCTAACACATTTTTCTTTTATTCCCTGATCTCACCATCTTGACAAGCATTTTCGGTTTCAGTAATTTACTTAAAGAACTAGAACAAAAGGAAAGTTCAAAGATTGTCCCTTCAGGTTGACATCTGAGGGATATTACATGGAACACTTGGCACATACTGGCTAACAGGCCTTAAATAGAGGTACATTTAAATGCATTCCCTCAGGGTAGCAGAGACAAGAAAGCAAGCTGATGCTTTGTAATAAGCATCTGCTGATTGTATAGTGGACAAGCATAAAGCAAGGCCAGCATGCACAGAACTTTAAAGCAGGCGAGACAATTCCCCCCTCACAGTGCTGCAGATACAACTGCACATGTTAATTTTACTGGGATAAAAAGGTTATGTCTTTTTCTTATCATACCAGTCAGCTCACTACTCTGCTGGAAAGGGGTCAGGATACCCTTTACATAATATAATACCTTTTTTTAGTTCAATCATTTTGCTTGCTCTGATTTTTTTCTGTAGTGGCACAGTATGTGAGGATAAGCTTTCTATTAGGCTTTTTCTATTGCAGGTATTATATGACATTGTCTAATACAAATAAATACATGGCTCACTAGGAACTTATGATAGTTTACATGACAGCTCTCTGAACTCAGAGAAAAACACAGTTTTTATTATTAATTTGTATGTAGAGTCCCAAAAAGGGACCTTCTTCAGGACCCTTCTGCACATAAGAAAAGATTCTGCCAGCTAACACTGCTGTTCCCTGAACTTTGACAGCAATACCACAACCATATTCTGGTTATATTCTTATTCAGTTTTAAAGCACTTTCAGCATGACTCCTTAACTACAGTAGCTATATCCATGTTTCTGTCGATATATTTTTCATATGCCACGTGAACATAAAAAATACCTTTTAATCTATCATATCTCAATGTCCTTTGCTGTTAGAATTGTTTCAGTAGTAGCACCACTACATGCTCATTAGGAGCATTTAGTTCCATGTCCAGTGGTTCTGGCTTTTCTTCACTCTGTCTTATCACCATAAATCTTATTCCCTTACACAGTAACAAGCATGATGAAGTAAAGAAGTCAGTCAGAAAATGGGAGTTGTAGATAGACATTCTGGAAGGTGACTTATGCCCCGTGTCCATTTACTGCTTATGAAATATCTGCTGCAGTGCCACACATCCCAAGGTCTCAGTGACTTCACGGAGTCTGATATTTCAGCAGGAAGCTTAACTTCTGTGCTCGGAGAGTGCAGTCTCTAAATACTGAGTCCTTGGCTTACATGATGTTAAGTAGACATAAAAATGCATTCCTAACAAATTAATGAATTCAGTTATGCTAAATTATAGATTTTTTTATTTTTTGGTTGAGGGTTTTTTTTTCTTATTTTATGAATACAAATGTTAATTTAAAAATGTTTGGACCTAGTCTCCTTAGTCTAGAAATAGCTTTATACTCGTTACATTTGCAGATCAGCAGAAAACCAAGTAATCTCTATCGCCTTGACAAGTGCAGAAATTTTTTCAGAACTAGTTATCTAATGCTTAAGCACCAATATTCTACATAAAATTCCAATCTTTCCTCACATCAAACTAACCTTCACCTGTTTGAAACCTGTTCCTTCTTCCCTTCCTCATCAGTAAGAATTTACACATGCTTGCAGTCAAGGGCATGCTTAAGTGCTCTGATGAGCTGGGATTTCAGCCAAGTCTGCATTTTTGCATTATTTAAAGCAGACAGAGATAAGGGAAGAAAACACCCAGGTGACCCAATTTGACCCTGGCAATTTTCAGCACCATTCCATCCTTCCAAGACATGTCTTGTTTTACCTGACAGTTGCTTACATTGCCTTCATGATGGGAAATATTTTCTGCCCAAGGTGTCTTTTCTTTTTTTTCTTTTTTTTTCTGTATTATCTACTGCTGTAAGCATTTGCTGCTTGCTGTTGATTTATACATGATGTAGCTGACTTTGTTGCTAGTACAATGATTCTGCAAAACATCATTTTTTAAAGCTGTGAAGACACAATGCAATGACATCCAACCAAAAAAGCCCCCAGTGTTTAAGGAATCCAAATAAGTAACATTAGGATTACAAAATTGCTTAACACCCTAGATTATTTCCAAGCTCAATAATTTTTTTCATACAAATTAGTTAAAAACACCATTGATGTGACAAACAGCCAAGACATGAGAAGAGTTTGTTTCCTTTGTAGCATCCGTAGGTTGCACAGACCCCAAAGATACCCTGGGCATTTTGCTCGATGTAGTAATGACCGTATGAGAATTTGCACAAAGAATTGCAGTTTTACTTGTCTTCATACACAAACATTTCAAGAAAATTAATCTAAATTATCTACTAAGGGAGTTTACTTAAACTGATTTAAACATGTGGGTAAGCCTATTTCAGAGTTAAAGCAATCTTGATTCAATTTAGTCTCATTTACTTAGCCCGAAGTGAATGAAAGAAAACAAATTAAAGCTACTTTAATTTGGAGTAAGCATGTTGATGCAGGTATCTAATGAAGTTTTGCTACCTTAACATTACATTCACGTCATAAATTAATTTCCCTCTCTGCTGCCCTTGAAACAAGATGTCAATATCATGCAACGTTAGTATTTTGTTGCATGCTGGAAGAAGTACAGGTGTATGCGAGACTGAGTTTTAGACCTAAAACAACAAATTAATAACACCATCAGAAGAGGCACCTTACAAAATACACCATCCATCTGCTGAAAAACATACTGGTACAGAGATGTAAGCAAAGAGAAGCAGTGATACAGGGACCAAGTTCTTGTGGAATTTTCATTTTCTTTGATTTCTTCTAGTGAATTAAAGCTGCAAGAACAAGGATTGTTTTTTGAGATATTGAAACACTTGACCTTTATGAAGAGTTCCAGTGACTTCTACACTACTAGCTTCTCAAGGATTTCTTTGAGGGTTTTCATACTTCTAGTGAAGATTGTCAAGATATTTTTTTATGCTTTCCCAATACTTAAAAAAAAATTAAATTCCACAGAATTCTATTGTGAGTTATAATGGAGATCTAAACCATTACTGGATTTGTACAGATGTGAACTAAATCAAATGTGTTCTGTGGTATATAAGTATCCTTTTGAAGATTAAAACTATGGTGTTCGATAGCAAACCAAATAACTCCAATTTGTGTGAGCATTGTTAGTTAATCTCAGGTCTCTGAAGAGTACAGGACTGGTATAATTATATATCTACATGTTTGTATACCTTGAGTACTGAATTACAAAGACTGTGGGATTTTGCTGGGGGTTGAGATTTCTAGCAGGAGGATTTGAGATCTGCAGGGATGAATAAGTGTCAGCAACACTGCCTATAGAGGAAAGTCACTGCTTTGTTATCATGTTTATATTCTGTTGGAAGACTTTTGCTAAATTAGAATGGGAATACGAAGAATAGGAAATCTCAATAGAAGATGTATGTGTAAACCACTATTTCAGTACATTTAACCAGCATAGCATGCTATATATTTTTTTCTCTTCCACATAATAATCTTTCACATTGACTTGATTATAAATCAATTGAACACTGAACAATAAACCTTTTTTAAAAATTAACATTCCCCTTCAGTGTTCTTTTTCTCCTCACACAAGATTTTTATACTTTTAAAAAAATACATTAGAAGGTCATCAAGTGGATCTAGCTCAAAGCACATTTCTTTTATAAAACTGTTGAGGAATTAAAAATGTTCACTATCAAGAGAATTCAGCCATACTCTGGAATAACCATTCTTTACTGTCCATCTAATCAAGTTAGATGTAAAGGTAAACAGCTGAATAAAGAGGATGGTGAGCATAGTCCCAATTTTAGAAAGGTTGTTCAAACCTCAGTACTCTTTATTCAGTTTCTCATTTCCCCACTCCTTAGAAAGGCAGTAACTGTAAATGCCTCCTGTCAGTTCCAGGACCCTGTGAACCTGAGGACCTCATTGATGGAATCATCTTTGCAGCCAATTACCTGGGCTCCACCCAGCTGCTGTCTGAGCGCAACCCTTCCAAAAACATCCGAATGATGCAGGCCCAGGAGGCAGTGAGTCGTGTCAAGGTAGGGGATCTTTATGGGCTGTAGAATACTCTTTGATCCTTTAACAGCTAATCCCTGACTGCTGCAGGATCTGCAGCCTCAAACCTCTCCTGAGGTGCAGTTAGGTAAGTACAGATCAGTATTGTAAATACCATTAGTTTACAGTGCTTGCTGTAAAAATACATACAGCAAAATATAAATTATTCCAGAGTCTATTCAAAATTATTTGGAGGCTGTTTAACAAATTCAAGTATGAGAGACAGATTGCAATTAGAAAATATTCCAGTGGCAAAGCACTGGGATATTTGTTTGGCTGTGGTTTTACTCTTCTGTTATGACTTCCTTTAACTTACTACAAATTGAGAAAATTAGTCTCAATATTATTGCTTATGACTTTTAAAGAAGAAGAATATTAATTTCTATTGTGTTTGGATTTGGTGTTATTTGCAGTGAAAAATTTCTTTGTAAATAATGTATCACAGACTGCTTCATAAAGCTGTGTAAAGAAAATAGTTTTTTGGTTAAGAATCTACACAGGAGATTTTTCTTTTAGAAGTCATTTTACCTCTGATGTAAATATCTCATCTGAATAAACACACTGTTAAAGGCTGATTTAAATACTAGGAGAAAAAGTATGTGCATAGTCAATGAAATATTTAATTTATAAAATTTGCATGATTTTGAAGGAAATGAGTTTGGAAAGGCCACTTACAAGAGATTGTCATGATTGATGATTGATTTAGCATTTAGAAAGAAAAGGAATGCAAGAAAGGTCAAGTTCTTTCATACTTTCCAAACCTTTCTGTTTCTATTTAGCATATTGTGATATCTCAAGCTACAGTAAGTAATTGTTGATTTCAGTTAACTCCCTAAAACCTGTTTTATGTATTAATACCAACCCCAGTTTGTTGGGGTACTTGAATACTCCAGACAGTCATGGCAGAGAGCTTGAGCTGTGTTTTTTTCAACAGTTACATGTGGGTATGTGATGAACATGGAGACAAAACCTTGGGTTTAAGATGCATGTGCTGCAATTTCTGACTGATTTGGCAGGATAAGTGTTGGGAGCAGCAGATAACAGACAACACCTTGGTACTGATTCTTTTGTAATCGATTGTCAGTGTGTATAATGCCATGAAATCCAATTATGCTAGAGAACTGCATAAGGTATAAACAAATCTTTCTCTCTTGCACATCCTTCCCCCACTGCTCCCAGTTTTTTAATTTTCTGCAGTCTGGATTCACAGTCAAAGTTTCCCTGACTTCCCACACTGTCTTTTCTCTTTCCCTGTGTGTACATCTGTCTGCATTCTTTTTTTTATGCTACTCCTCAGAGGATGCAAAAGGCGGCTAAAATCAAGAAAAAAGCGGTGTGTAAACTGTTTTTCTTGAATGCTAATGTTTACTTACATTTTTGTTGTCCTTGTTTCCCATGGAGTGTCATGTCTTTCGTTACAGATCCTCATAAAGTTGTCATTTTGGTTTCTTCTTTGGTCTGCAGTAGAATAGTGAATGGAATAAAATTAACCCATTTTCTTCATTGTTCATTTGTTGGAGTGCCTGTCTGCTGCCCTTCTCCTGTTGAATAACTGTGATTTGTTTACTCCAGATGTACAACCATTGTTATCTGGGAGTTGTTTTTGAATGTAATGCTTATTTTGATTTTACAAACCAAAGCAGTAAGACATACTTCCTGTGCCTGTGACTTACTGTATATTTATTAAATTATTGTTGATATTTAAAATCAAAATAAATCCACCACATAGTAGCTGGAACAAGTCATACAGGAAACATTGCACTCAGTTAAAAACAATACTTCAGCTAACTAAATACAGTTGACAAAAATATCAGCATAAGGATGGAAGCAATACAAGAAGCCTCTGCCAAAGTATGTGCTTGCTTTGTATTTTACTGGAAAATAATTTGAATAAAATTAATCTAAATTAATTATAGGCATAGCTAAGCCTTTACAACTCCAAAAAAGATTAGCAAATACATAATTCTCGTCATGAGCCAGTGTCTGACCTGGAGACTGGTGCCTGCCTTTAGCCCAGGCTGAGACAATCTGTGGCCATTTTATTCTGAGGCGCTGCCACGGGTGCTGCTCAGTACCAGCTACAGTAGTGCCCTTGGCCCAGCAGCCTGGAGGAACCTGTATGTTCCTGCTGGACTAGAGAGTTAGGGAAGCTCTTGGACAATGCTTCAGTGAAGGCAGCAGCTGCTTAGCCACCTCTTCTCCCATTTTCTCAAGTAGGCAGAGCCAGGACCCCCACTGGAGTGCAGTGTTGCATTGTAATGCCTGTTGCTCTGTGGCTGTGCCCTCTGATGGGGTATGGAAATGTTTCCCTAGTGAGCAGTGCTCAGAAAAAATTGTGGTCTAAAAATCCCTTGATTGCCTTCTGTGAGAGAAACATTAGTTCAGTGTTTGGTTCTTTATTTTCTAGGAAAAAATCAAAAGCAAAAAAAAAAAGTCCTAAACCCCACCACAGTACTGAGTACCAGTTTGCACTTTTTTTGGTGAGCTCACTGAAGGTGGCAAGGGCTAAACAGCTGACGGGGGCTAAGTCACCTTCTCAGTTCTCCTGCTTTCTCAAGTCTGGTGCCTCAAGTACTGAATTGCACCAGTGAGAAAGTGAGGAAAAAACAGCCATACTTTTTCTCCTGTTTTGGCTATAAATAGAGAATTTTAATCCTTGGGCTGTCAATCCCACAGGCTCCAAAAATTCCCTCTTACCCAGAAGATCAGAGTAGGCTTCACTGTCTATGCAATAAATGTACTCTTTGCATGTCTTTAGAAACACCTTTGAATATCCAGCTCTGTAATGGTTTAAAGTGCAGCTGCCTCACATCACATTATGCTTGAAGCAGTCAGTGAATTTGTCATTCTGAAAATTAAAAATCCCCTTTAAACAAAGCATCTGTCTTTTAGACCTCAGAGGGAGATTCCCAGGCCTTGACTGAAGTGGATCTGTTCATCTCCACACAGAGAATCAAAGTTCTAAATGCAGACACACAGGTAAGCTGGATTTAAACTCCTGGAGAATAATGTTGTTAGACTGTGATCTTATACAATTAGTGGGACACTTTATTGAACCTTGATAAATTCAGGTATTCAGAGTATTCAGAAAGAGTTCCTATTGTTCTAACACTTGCTAATATAGTAAGACTGAAACCTGTTTTGCTTATTTGATGTACTGGAAGATATGTTGCTATAATTGAGCTATAATTCAATTCAAAAAAAAGATTCAAAAGCCTTTGAGAATGCATGAACACCACTCCTGTGGTACAGCTTCAGAACCCAGATTTACAATCCAACAGGGAAGTCATTTGCTGCTTTGACTAAGCCGTTCATATCCTGCCATTTTTAACATTCAATCTCAATTTTTTTCCATAAATCACACTGAGCTACCATCCTCTTGCCTAAGGTAAATTATTAATCATTCATATCAAAGCAGCATCTGGAGACACAGCAATGATCAGCCTCATCTTCTAGGAATGCTTATATATTCAACAAGAGGTGATCTTCATAAAAAGGAGTTTTTGAGGAATTTACAACTAAATACATGTAATTTATACATGGATCCCAATATTTAGTAATCTCACAAGTTCTCTTAACTTTGCTCATACTTACAGGAAGTCTTCACATTTTCATTCTTATGAGAGGCATTGAAAAGGGCAATTTTAGCAATGTTTTGTCAGAAGTAAACCATATCAAGTCAATTGTTTTCTTTTGTTTAGGGGATATATTTGTCCATGGCACAGAAGCAGCACATGTCATCTCTGTACTTAGATAAGGCTTTAATATAATATAATATTTTCTAGATTATATGATCTAGATATATAGCTAGAGATAGAAGGCTTATAAAAACTTCAGTGTAGTTATGTCTGATATATTGCTATGGGGCAATGTAAACAGAAAAAGGGTAGAGCAAGACTCATAAGCATGTTTCTCTAATGTAGCACTGATTAGTATTTTCATAAACACATGGGAAAATAGAAAGAGAAAATGGTTCTTGAACTTGTACTTTGGTGAATCAGATCAGAGTTCAGAAATAATGGCTAAATGAGGAAATGAGCTAAAACTATAGGAAACACTTGAACAAAGATAAATGTAGCACTCTACATATAGAGTTTTGGTTTTAATTATAATTGTTTTTCCAACAATGGAAACTATGAAGCACCTTCTTCTTCTTGAAATTTAGAACATCCTTTAATGTGAGGGTAATGATAGTATCTCCAAGAAATGGCTACATTTTCCTTTAATATAAGCAAATGTCCTTAACATGCCACTAGAACTCCCATGAGCTGAGCCAGATGAGTGGAATAGCCCATCTAACATGGGCAGCAATATTTACAACCTGCCACCCACAAATCATCCTGAAACTGCATTTTATCCACCATAAACAATACCACTATTGGTTGTGACTCAGCCTTGTCTTGACCTCATGGTAACTGTGCATCATCCAGAGATTATATTATCAAAGCTGATAACTACTTTTTGCATTAGCAGAAAATAACATGCTCATAATTATCAGTGTAAAGATGCTTACAGACAGTTATTGATAAATGAACAGCTACAGTTTATAGTTGGAATGTATGGCAGTTAAAAGGTATGGTGTCTTTGTTGGATAAGGATTAGTCATAGTGGAAGCCACTCTTCTTACTTCTTTAAATAGTTCAGCATTTCAGCTGAACGCCAATCTTTTTAAAAATAGAAAGGGAAGGTCCTTTGTAGTAGCCCATAAACAATATCAAAGGAACTGGCATTTTACTCTGATGATCCCCTGAGATTTGTAGTGATGCAAAATGCAATGCTCCATCATGAGTGGTGTCTAATATCTGAGCTGTTCAACCAGATGAAAATAGTAACAGTGAAAATTGTTCTAATTCCAAGCTCTCTAGTGTTTGCTCTGGGGTTTTTTGTAGTTTTTTTGGTTTGGTTTTGTTTGTTTTTTTTTTTTTTTGCAGTGTGTCTTTCAGAGAGCTATAACAGAATTATTCCCATGACTTTTTAGCATTTTTGGCTTGGTAACACTTTTCAGTGCTGGTGAAGTTCCTGGCTGGTGTAATTACCATGGGTCTATTCAGCTGGGGCAGCTGGCAGAGACAATCTGTACTTTCATGACTTTGTCAATTACATAAAACCCTATTTCTACAGTATGCCATGTGTTTTAATCCATTTGTAGTGTTGTTTAGCTCACATGAGGTAACAGCTGAACGAAAATGTAAAATTCCCATTCAGAAAATGACATGCAGCAAGGTTCAAAATGCTGGGCAGCACCAGTCAGGCGCATTCCCAGGCTGGAATAGAGCCAGCAGTGGTGATTCTGTTGCCCTGAACAGCTCCAGGAAATGGCACCCCTGCCACTTTCTGGTTGCTTATGCATTTAGTTGCTGAATACATTTAGCCCAAGTTGAGCACCTGTTCAGTAGGAATGAAGTAGGAGCACCTTATGTTTGGCCATGTGCCTTGTTGATGGGAGGGGAATTCTTCCCTGTGCCACAGCTTTGTGGGGGTTGCACTCAGTGCCCCAAACCAGCAGAAGCCACAGCAGCTTCTCCCAGCTTCTTGCTCAGTCAGTGGAGCTGGGAGTGAAGCAACTAGCAAAATGAAGAAAGAAAAATAAAGATATAGAGCTCACAAATGTGTATGTACAGAGCCTCTGGTGCATGATCGCCTCCATAAAACCACCTGACTCATTAGGCTGTCTAATTCACACTCCCACAGGACTACAGCACTTTAAAGCTTGGAGGAATTCTTAGGGTTTTTTTCCTTCTGCTGTTCTTTGGGTTTCAAGAGAAACAACAAACAAGATTCTAAAAGAATTCCATGGAAAGGAAGGGAGAATCTGAGAAAGGGCAATCCAGACAGAACAGAACAATGGCTTCAGAAAGGCCTGGGAGAGGCTGAATTTCTAAGGACAAATATAAGGACAAGGATGGAATGGATGGGACTAGAAAAGGGATAAGGGAAAGAACTGAGAGGCAAATGGGCAGAGATGAAGGGATTTATGGGAAAGTAACAAATGAGAGGGGTGAAAAAGAGATATTGGTAAGGGAAAATTGAGTACAATGGAATATGGACAGAGAAAGGAAAAAGTAAAGTTAAAAGTAAGTCAAAAATAAACTCATGTTTACAGTCAGTAGATAGTATTTGCCTCATCCTTAACAGGAAAAATGTGGAAGGGATGGGGGGAATGATTGCTTTTACCCCCTACAATGGGAAAATAAAAAAACCTCAAACCTTTTGAGTAATCTCTGTGTGATGATATGGGTAGAAAGCCTTTCTTGGCAGGTGAGATGAAATGCCTTCATTCTCCCAATGCATTCACTCTTGTGCACACTGCATGTATGATTACACCCTTACACAATACTTGGTGCACACTGCTGAAAAGCAATTATCTCTGCAGAGCTCCCAACATCCTGCTGAGAGATGTCCATTAGAAAACATTTCTCCATTCTGACAGAAGTGCTGTAAATCCTCCTGAGCCCTCACAGTGCTTAGAGACACTCCCCCAAACCACCTCTTAACCATCATTACTTTTCATAGGTTAGGGAGAGGCATTATTTCAAGCCTGAAAAGAATCATTACAACAATTTTACGGGCAGTGATTATCTTCAGCAAGACAAGTGGTTCTAAGAAACAATGATAATTTATATTTTGTCTGTCAAGTTAAATTGTACTGAAATTCTTAAAACAATTACTTTTGTTGACTTGAAGAACAATCCTTCTTCCTTAGGCCTTAGAATATTTTTCAACTAATGCTAAACTAGTGCCAAGCTGTTTACATAAAGAGAGCTACTGCTTATATAAATTATTAAATTGTGAATTATCTTGTACCACATTTTTATATTCTGATTAAGATGGAGTTTGCTTGATGCTTTTAGCTGTTCAGGGTGAGGCACAGGGATGGTCAGGACATGTCCTCAACTACCTTGATCAGTACAACTATTACGCTTCTGGTTGTTTCTAGTTTGAGCAATAGATAAAACCTGGAAAAACTCTCCAAACTGACCAGTGACCCCAGCCAGAAGCAGTTTTCTGTGTGTGCCCTTTCCATTTCTTTAAGAACAGTTCATCCTAACAACAGCAAAATATGTAAAGAAATAACATAATTTTCCAACAGCATGAAAATACATGTAAAACAGTAGCATAGCTTTTCATTCTTGCTTTATTAGTAGCAACCAGGCTGTATTTGCTCAGGCAACATTTCATTCAAGCCAATGTCTTGAACAGCCACTCTGCTTCCCTTGGGAATTGGGGCCCATCAACTGCGGAGGGAATGTCCTGTCTGGGCACATAGGAGGTGCTTCTGTAGCTTTTGTGTTTCTCAAGCACCAGGCTGTCAAGGAGAGGGCAGATGCAGTATTTGTAGGAGAGCAGCAGGCATGGAGAACTGCTTTGTTTGTGCTTTGTGCAGGAAACAATGATGGACCACGCACTGCGCACCATCTCCTACATCGCAGACATCGGGAACATCGTGGTGCTGATGGCGCGGCGCCGCATGCCCAGATCTGCCTCCCAGGACTGCATTGAAACCACTCCTGGTGCCCAAGAGGGCAAGAAGCAGTACAAAATGATCTGCCATGTCTTTGAATCAGAGGATGTAAGTAAATGGAATCAATTCATTTCAACAATACAGGTCATGTAGAGATCTCTGAAGTCAATGGCCATTCATGGGCAAAATTAACCTGTGGGATATTAAATTGATCATTCATCCTGGATTATATCCTTTAGTCCAGCAGGTTGGCACAAAATGACACACGTGTGCCTCCAGGCACTTGGAACCATTCTGGAGCTCTTTTTAACTGAAGCCAAGTTGCTTCTACTGCCTTAGCAGGGCTGCACAAGGCTGCCTTTTACCCAGTCCTGGTTCCCTGGGGCTCCTGACCTGTAGTTGTATGTACTCTTAAATATGCCACTTGATCCTTTGGTATTTAGGAACACATTCAGCTGTATATTTTTCAGTTCTCTTTTTTCATCCCTAGCAAAGATTACAAATTAGAATTTTTATATAGAATCATAAGAATTCTGTCCATCGTGCTGATGTGCCATCCCATACCTCTGGTGACAAAAAAATATAACCTTGCTTTACTGCTGTTTAATAGCCAGGTTTGGGATTTTAATGAATTAGGTACTCATGTCTGAAGTGGCAGACCAAGGGACTTCAACCTAAAACATTTATGGAAAAATGTACCAAGACAGTAAAACAGCAAAAGCAAAACTTTTGTCTTTTTCTAACTTGACAGTAAGAGGCAGTACTATCTCTCATCACTGTTATCATAGGAACAGCTATAGATATATTTTCTAGGTATATATGTATAGATATAATACCAATTAAAAAATAATGGAGTTCTTTGGGTCAGACAGTCATAACTCAGAGGTTGCATATATTTTGAGCTAAGCAATCCATTTTCATTATTTTAAAGCAATTAAGCCTGTGAAGGAGAAAGGGCATTGTCTAAAGGTTAGAGTGCTAGACTGGGGTTGTTCTGAGACCCAGTTAGCTCAACTCTGTCACAGCTTTGCTTGGGTGACCTTTTCACACAACTTAATTACATTATCTCTAAGTTGTGTATAATGCTGAAGGCTTTCATAAACATTCACAAGACCTCAGAGATAGAGATGAAATTAAGATGTGAGAACTGGCTGTTACTGGCAGCAATAGAATAGGGCACGACATCTGGAGATGTTGGTTTTGGGAATGTAGAATGAAGGCAAAAGCAGAGGATGAGCTACAGAGAAAGCAGTGGCAGTGGAGATCAGAAAGACTCAGTTAGGACTGGTGATGAACCTTAATAATGGAATGATATGAAAATGTCCTGAGTGAATTCTGTACTATGATACTGCCTAGGGCAGTGGTCACGGCACCAAGCCTGACCCAGTTCAAGAAGCATTCAGACACTCTCAGGTGCACAGAGTGGAATTTTGGGGATGTCTTGTGCAGAGCCAGGAGTTGGACCTGATGATCCTGATGGGTCCTTTCCAACTCAGCATATTCTGTGATTCTGTATAAACCTCCTGGTATCAACCAAAGACTTGAAAATATGCTTTAAAATATGAAGAAACAATTTGTGACTGGCTAGGCTACTTATGTCCTTGATCTTCTAAAGTCATTTTCCAGTCAAGCAGATTGGTGCTTTTGTGTACAGCAGCACAAATCAAATAAGGAAACAACCTTTTAGCATCAAAGAAAACACTTAATCAGTAGATTGTAAGAAGATACATAGATTTATAATCTCCAGAAAACCCTATGCATTTGAAATGCATTTAAACAGTACTGACTATTTAAGAAGTTGTGTTGCATTTCCAGAATACAGGTTTGATTAGTGATATTTTTAAGGAGTGTAAGGTGCAATTAACATCTCATATCATCAGGAGTTACACATATGCCCCAATGACCCCAGAAATGATGACCCACAGAAATACAACTCAACATGGCATTCTCCTATGAATGAGCTGCATAAACTCAAAGTAGGGAAAAAAATAGTTCAAATGTAGAAGTGGACTACACATTCCTTTTACTGATCTCTGTTTCTCTGTGTTCCCTTGCCATCTAGTGGAATGTGCAGATAAGTGCTCCAAATTTTAAGAAAGACAGGGTTTTGAATGGGTGTTCCCAACATTAGCAAGCTTTAATCGTGGCTCTGGCTGCGTTCCTGAAATGATCCCTGACACTGCTAGTCGAGGTGTTAATGGGAATAGCTGTCCTAGATGTGCAGTGGGTAAGCAGGGGTATTACTGGTTTGCTGGGAATGTGGGACAGGCATCGTGGCAGTAATAGGGGAGCAGATGGCTGTGTTGAAGCAGTGTTTTCAGTCCTGGAAAACCAGGGTGGAGAAGCAGCAGGTGACACCACAACCAGAATCATCAGTGCACATACGTCTGTTCAGGCATGTGCAAGCAGAGCATCCCTCCTCTCCTCACCCCTGCAGACAGACTGTGTTCAGAGGCAGGGCTTGTGGCACTCTTCCATCAGCTCTGCTGATGCTGGGCCGAAGCCAGGACTCTCCAGTGTTTGTTGGAACGGGTACATGAGCAGCATATGGCTGCTTGCTACTGAAACATACTGAGGAGGGGAGAGCAGCAGGGGATTTTAATGGAGTTTACAATTTGATTTTGGATGTAATGGGTTCTTTCTGTGCAATAGACCTTACAGTGACTTTATATCCATGCTAATGCAGAAACTTTGCAGGATCCTTATTTTGATTCTGTCTAAAAATCCAATCTCTCTCCTGGTATCTTGTGGTTTCTCTGGTAAACTGTTAATCTGTCCTTTCTCTGAGCTGTTTTTTTCCACATTCTAGGCACAGCTCATAGCTCAGTCAATTGGTCAGGCTTTCAGTGTGGCTTACCAAGAGTTTTTAAGAGCCAATGGAATTAACCCAGAGGATCTCAGTCAGAAAGAATACAGTGACATCATCAATACCCAAGAGATGTACAATGATGATCTCATACACTTCTCCAATTCAGAAAACTGCAAAGAGGTAAACTGGTTTTGGATTTTCATTTCAGATTGATCCATCCTTTATTTTTTCAGAGTAATGTAGTTCTCAGAAATATCTTTTGGCATTTGTAAGGATGACGTTACAATTTCAAGATGTGTTCTTTGTCAGTCATGTGTACTAAAATCAGCTTTATGGATTATTAGGATTTCTTGTTTTCATGTTCAGGATCTTTCTGTTTCCATTGATCAGAATAGTAATAAAGTACATTTACATCTGAGCTAGATAAGCTCTGTGCTATTCACAGTACACACTGTAAGGTGATTTTATGTTTCACCTAAGTACTGACACAGAAAGAGCTGACAGAGTTGGGGCTTTCTGCAATAGATAACCTCTGCAGAAGTCAGCTGGCCATCAGCATTCTCTGTCCTTCCACATTTGAGAGAAAATAATCCCCTGTATTTGCTTCAAGAGCATGTTCTATACTTTTAAACTCTTGCTCCACTTCATAGATGTTAGCTGTGCTGTGGTTACTGACAGTTCAGGAGAAGGCATCATTTACATAACATCAGGGATCTTACCTGAACGTGCTAGGCATGAGTATATTCCATAATTAACAATATTAATAATAATAACTTTAACAATCATTAAGAGATCCTTGCCTGAAAAGAAGGACAGACAAGTCCTGAGATCAAGAGACAGCCTGAGCAGTGCTGGCAGGAGTGGAGCTGAACAAAGCCTGGGCTGCAGGCACTGCCTTAGCCACAAAATGTTAGAGCCTCCCCCTCTGGCTGCCAGGTTCCATGGACAGAAACTTCCTTAGCATTTATTCCCTTGGCATCCAGTTCCACCACTTCCTACAGAGTTAACCATGGGTTAGTGTTTTGCTTATTAAATCTCTATGACCTTCAACAAACAAGTGGAGGATGCCCCTGAAAACAAACAGCTGTGTGTTCCACAGTTAACACTGAAGTCATGCTACTACCTAATGGCAAAGAATAGAATTTGGTTTGTGGTTTGTAGATGTTATTTGGGAACAAGTGAGATAATCATGCTCGAAGTCAGAAAAATCAAAGCAAAAAAAATGTTTTTCCTTTTTAATTGCAGCTCCAGCTAGAAAAACAGAAGGGAGAAATTCTTGGGGTAGTGATTGTGGAATCTGGATGGGGATCCATTCTACCCACCGTTATCCTGGCCAACATGATGAATGGAGGCCCTGCTGCACGTTCAGGAAAACTGAGCATTGGAGACCAAATTATGTCCATTAATGGTACCAGTTTAGTTGGTCTACCTCTTGCAACATGCCAAGGGATCATAAAGGTACCCCCAACTTACAACTCTATGCTGTAGTTTGTAAACCAACAGAAGTGTAATCTTCTGACAAGTGATCCTGTAGATTTCCAGCAGACACAATTTTTCATATCATTGCAAAAAAACCCAGTAATCTGTCATTAACAAAAAGCAGAATTGGAGATTCAGGACTGATAATGAACAGAAATTTAGGGCTGGAGAACACAACTGCAGTTTTGTTACTGGGCTATAACAAATGAGGGCAGGTCTGTAAAAGTTGCCTAAATGAAGTTATTCAGCTGTCTTCAAAGTTTCAAGCTTCCTCACAGCCTCCAGAATAAAATATGAGGATTAAAATCTCCTATGCTTTTTTGAGCTCCATGCAGGGTAAAATGGAGGGAGGCTGGTAGACTGCAGGGCAGACCAAGTGAGCAGATGAAGAATCTGAAGACCCGATGGAATCTCAGAATGCATTATCTTTAGTCACAGAGACTAAATCTGATGTCTGTGCAGATTTACCAACAGCAGCAGAAGCAGGAGATTAATTAGCCAGATGCTGGAAAAGGGCAAGCAGTAGTCAGTTTTAGTTTTTATTGAAAGATTTATTTAAATTTCTGTAGCAATTAAAAGCAAAATTTTAATGTTTTGTTGAGCCAAATATCTTGGGAAATAAATAAGAGAAATGTATCCCTAAGTTAACAACTAATTTCTGTTGACTCTATCTACTCTTTCTCAGATTAGCTGCTGAACACTCTCACAATTAAGGAATCACAGATGAGGGCACAGTAAGATTAATTTCAGAGATACTGACTTTTGGAATATCTTACAGGGACTCAAGAATCAGACACAAGTCAAACTGAACATTGTCAGCTGTCCTCCTGTTACTACTGTCCTCATAAAACGGCCAGACTTAAAATACCAGCTGGGCTTCAGTGTACAGAATGGAATTGTAAGTTTCTGTGTTCATTGATTGTTTTGGGGTTTTTCAAAAAACATAAGGAAGTACTGAAAGAATCTTGCATGACCTCACTTTTTCTACTGTTTATTAAAACCTTATAGCCTCTAAATAATATAATGCAAATGGATGACTCTGGGAGAAATTCTTGAGGGATTTTCCTACATAATACAGCAACAAGATTTGTAGCCCAGATTATTTGGTGCAATAGACTGATCATGTAAAACTGTCATTAGTGCCAGAGTTGCAAGGAAAAGTTATGCTGAAAAAGGTTTTTACAATTATAGCACTTTAATCTTAGGTCTGATTCTGTTTCTCTTTTTAAAATTTCATTACACACTCACTAAGACTTTTAGTTTTCCTTCTGCTGTGCATAATATATGCATAATAATAGTATAATAACATATAATATATGTTAACCACATGGTAGTAGGCAAAGGAATAAAATTGTGACCTCCTCTTCTTAAAACTAAACTCCTATAAAAACTAAACCTCTCATTGCAAAGTAATAGGTTGTGGCTCAGGTACCCCTTCTCTGTGTGCTGCGGTTTCCCTGTAGTAACAGCAGCAAAGAGGAGAGCAAATGTGGCAGGGAACACTTACCCCAGGCAGCTCAAGGTCCTCCTCTTGCTGTTCCTCCTTCCCAAGCCGTTCTCTGACACCTTTCCAAAGCAAACTCCCCACACAACTAGCTCAGGTAGTCACTGGCCTTTCTGGGAGCTGACACTAGCATTAGAGACTGGCTGTAGTGCAGGACCATCACCATTTCCTCTTCCTCCAGTCTAGGAAAAAAAAATAATCAGGCTGCTCACACAGAAAACTACACCACAAAGGCTGTGGGCTCTGTCCCCTGTTCTGTGAAATGCATCGATTGAAGTTGCCAGATTTCTGTTTGGCACCCTTTGAAGAGCTGGAAGAGTAGCAGGTAACTGTAGGATGTGGCTCATAGGCCTTCCTGTACTTGGGCAAACAGAAGGCTCAGGAGTGGGTTTGCAGCTCTCCTGGCCATCTCTCAGTTACTACTCCACCCAAGTTTAAAATCCTACCTAAGATCACATATAAAGGACACTGCTGCATGCCCTGGCCCAATGGATGCACTCTAAAGTGATTCCTACCCCAGGATCTGGTTTCACCCCATCTCACAGAGGGTGCCCTGTTTGAGGCACTGAGCTCTTTCCTAATTGCTCACCTTTGTAAATCTTCTATGTTCCACTGGTGCTATAATCAAAAGAAGAGAATACATTTAAGGACCAGTAAACATCACTGTGGTGTGATTATCAAGTTTTTAGGAGCCCATTCACAGCTTTGGTGGGGGTGGGATCAAGCCTGGGGAAAAGAATCAGGCTGAGGTGGAGCATCCCATGCCCTCACATGGACAGGGAGTCTGTGACAATCTATTCATCTGGTCCCTGCTAATCATCTCCTTCATGACTGGAGCCTCAGTTCTCAGGAAATTCTGCAGGCTCTGCTTGTTATCGGTCACAGTGTGCTCTTTCCATCTACTGGCCATTTGTCACACTGGCAGATCATCATTTCTTCCAGTCAAATGAACAACATTCAGATGACATCAAATATAAAGTTCACCAAATTCAGCAAAAAATCCTTTTCATATAGAAAAAAAAAAAAAAAAAAGCCTGGCAGTGCATTTCATTTCTGAAAAGTCTGTTTGAATATGAAAGCCAGTGAACAAAAAGATGAGATTAACATATTTTGTTAGGCTGCTATGGATACAAACCTCTGGGCCTGTGAAATCCTTTCCTCTGAAAAGCTTGCTCAACATTTGAAAACATGACTGCAAAATTTATCTCTCTGGTAGTTTGACACTATACTCTTTAAAAGTATTTTTATAATTGCCAGCAATTGTTACAAATTATTATAGGATCCAGAAGTAATACTGTTATTCTTTGTTGGCTCAGCATTAGCACAGCAAAGAAATAAATGGCTTGTCAGAACAGATATAATGAAATGTCTCTTTCTGTAGCCCATTACCTCATTACCTCCCATGCAGCTGGGACTTATTTCTGTGCATCCTCTGATTGCAGCTTTGCAGTGGTTCCTCCTCACCCTGCCTATCTCATCTGTGCAGGATGCACAGCCATTATAGCGGGAATAGCCCATAAACAGGATTGCTTCTGGCCACACAGAGGCACCTTCTGAGCTGGGTTTGCCTGCACAGGCTCTGCCCTGCTGCAGCTGAAAAAAAAGGATGTTGTAATGTAACATGTATGAGACTTAACAGAAATAAGTATGAATATTGTGTGATGGGGAGGTGAGCATTAGCTGACCAATCAGCCACCTTCTGAAAGTCATTATGCTAGAGTTCTTTTTAAATAATGTTATTTAAACACAAGTGGTCCTTTTGTATCACATTATTGTTTTCTAGATTTTGTCCTTGTGTATCAAATTATTTTTTCTAGATTATTAAAAACCTGTATATTACCAGTTATATTTTTACTGCTGATAAAACACCACTTCTCAGTCTAGATCTCACTTTCTCTGAGACCTCTATCTACCCTGTCCCTAGCCTAGCACAAGCTATCTAAAAATACACCAAAACTTTACAGAACATTTTATTTTTTCTTCCATGCCTTTGTTTACTGTCATTTAAACTGGCAAAAAATTTGCAGGGTTTCAATAGTGTAATATAAAAGTGAGATGAGGACAAATCAGGCTTTAATAGGTTATGATTAAGGCATTTACACAAAATAAAGTTTGTCTGGCACTATTTTATCCTTAATGCTTTGCTACCCTATGGACAGTTGCAATAAAACTGATTGTGAAGCTACTGAAGTTTCACATCTGATGTGCTGCAGCTTGTCTGAGGCATTGCAAACCTGTCACAGCTGAGTGGATTGAACCTGTGTGGTTTACACCTTTTTTTTTTTTTTTCTTTTTTTCCCTTCAGTTTACAGAGTCAATAGAATGGACTCTTGCTTACAAGAAGCAGATCTGTCTTGCTTTATCTAATAATATTATAGCTGTTGCCATGTTCAACAAATACAACAGGTTAAAGAGTCCTGGGTGAATAAAATCATATTTACTTAGAAATACTGCTCAGTTTAAACTCACCAGCTTCAGCTGTTATAGCTCCACTGGCTGGAGACAAAACACTTAGAGCTGTTTTGAATCAGCCCTTGCAAATACAGGAGTCACTAAATGTGTGCTGTAAATGCAGAATATTTTTTTCTCTGTGTGTTCTGTCTCTGGTTTAGCAGAATCTGGGAGCCTGGGCAAGCCACTCAGCCTCTGTGTCTACTTCTCTTTTCTACCTCATTAAAACACTTAATGCTCACAAAAGGAAGCTGCCTGCCTTCCCTGGAGAGGATTCCTGAATGAAGAGACCACTTTTTATGTCTGGGGCTGTTAGAATAAAGAAACTCACTGATGGTATTAAAAGTGCTAAAAGTGGTTTGAGAGCCACACAGTGAGAAGGGCTCTGGATAGATTTGCAAGCCATTATCTTTTTTTTTATGCTGGTGGGGTGAGGGATCACATTTCCATTTGCTACAAAAGCTGTTATTTCAGCTCTACTGTCTCTCTCCTTTACACCACAAAACATATATTTTACAGAGTTTCTTTTGGTACACACTGCTTTTTGTCCATTCTTATTATTGCACCCCAACAACAAGGAGCAAACTTATTCTAACAGTGAGTTGAACTGAGAAGCTTTCTGTAAAAGAGATCTGTGTAGTACAGTTTATCTTGTGAGCTGTGTCATTAGAAGATAGACTATCTGCAAAACAATACATGTACTGAATTTCAGTTCTGTGAAGAGGTAGTGCTTCTTTCCATTGAAGCCCATCAGGAATACTTTAAGGACCACAGGAGGTAACATTCAACCCCTGGAGAGAGCATGGTGGGAGATTGCTCACTGCAGGAGGAATGTGTTGTTTTGGGGTTTTTTCTGAAGGCTGAGAAAGGCTTTTTATAAACAAAGACAATATATTCTGACTCCTCATATCAAGCAGTCTGAACTTCAAATGAGAAGGGATTTCTTGTTTTAATAGCACTGTTATTTGTGGAGAGGAGTTTAAAGGAAGCCGCTAATGCTATACAGGAAAATATTCCAGTCAACCACAGACAGTGTTTTACCTTCAAGGTGTTCCAGACTGGCCATCTCCCCACACACTGTGCTTCTGAATTAGATAACAAACTCACTGGGGCACAAACCACATCTTATCATATTTGTATTTAGCTCTGAGCAAATGACCAGATTGCAGCAAATAATGATTCTTGGAGTATCATTCTAACCACTGACAGTAACTGCAGAAACAAGCATTAGCTGATGCTCCAGCACTCTTTTCTTTTCCTCCAAGAATTGGTTTTTCTCAGTAAACAAAAGGTAAATCCCAACACTGCTGAAGTCTGCCTAGTTCCAGAGATTCAGCTATACATTATCTGCCTTGTGTGATTCATGGGTTTAAGTATTTTGAAAAAATTTACCAGCAATTCCTTTTTAATGCAGTCTAGTCTGCCAGGGAGGATCCCCTTGCAGCACGGATACTGTTGCTAAGGAGGAAACATTCTCAATCCCACACAGGATTGAGATTTCTCTTTTTGCCTGAGCTCTACAGTTGCAACCTCAGAACACTTCATGTAGCAGTGACTGCTGGGACTGTGTCTGCCAAATGTAGCTCTTCTTGTAGAATTATTACCCTGTTGTAGGGGTCATAACATTCAAAACTTGTGCCTAGTTCTTTACTGGAACCTCAGCTGCCAGTTAAAGAAGAGTGGCCTATTTTGCCTTTTTCATCCTGAGCTCCTTGTGGCCAGCAGCACTGAACAACGTGGAGGGAAGCTGTGACCCTGGAGAGCAGAGCCCTCTCCTCCTCTGCAGGGGCACAGGAAGTTGTGTCCCAACAGTGGATTAAACTCTCTTCCCCCATCTCCAGTTGTGTGGCTACTACCTGTATCACTGTGAAAGGTATTTATATGTTCCCAGTCAGAGACTGAAAATGAAAATTATAGTAGGCAGAAATCTCAGAAAAAATTCCCTCTAACAAACCACTAAAGCAACATTTAAAAACTCACTGATTAACATTTTCAACAAGCATCTTCTGGAATCTGTCCAGTGTCACCACTCATTATTATGCTTTAAACCCCAGTAAGTGTTGCACTGTGATATTTCTAAAGTTCACTAAACATTGCTTTCTCTTGGCAGATTTGCAGCTTGATGCGAGGTGGAATAGCAGAGAGGGGAGGGGTAAGAGTGGGACACCGGATTATCGAGATCAACGGGCAGAGCGTTGTGGCTACTGCTCATGAGAAGATAGTACAAGCATTGTCCAATTCAGTGGGAGAGGTAAGGAAACAAAGTGTTTAGAAAGGAAGCAAAATAATTGAAAAAATGTATGTTTCAGCTGAAAAGAGTCTCAACACAGCATTAAAACCACCAATTCAGTAAATTGAGTTTGGCATTAATACAAAACAAGTAACAGAAATATTATTTTAACAACTAATGATGCACATTCAGTGCATTTTCCCATTAATTTTTAAGAGCTCCTGGAATAATTCTTTACCTTCAACCTACTGTCTGATTTAAATCAAGTGATTAAAGGAAGAAATTACTCAGGTGTGTTGGCTGTGAAAATGTCTCTTGGCTTATCACCACAGCATCTGCCACAGAAATGAATTACTATGTCTGAGAGATGCAAATTCATATACATTTTAATAATTTAATTTCCAACTTACCTTGTGAATAAGTTAAGGCATCTCTCTCCAGTACTTCTAGAGAGATCAGTAATGAATAAGCAAGATTGTCCAGTTTTTCAAAATCCCTCCTGAATTTAATGGTAGTCTAATACAGAACCCTGGCCAGATGTCCCACTACTGTCCCACTTCCTCTGACAAAAATCAAAGACATCTGGATTCCTTCTGGAAAATGATACTTGACAAATCATGACAGAGTACGTGCACTTCATCAGGAGCAAAGCTGTAGATTCCAACAGCCCCTCCAAGCCTTTATGGTCCCTCTTTGCTGTGTAACCTCTCACCTAACACAGGAATACAGCAGGGAACTTTTCTTTACGGCGTGAAGATAAAATACCAAGGGAGGTGGTGAGTGTCTGTATTACCAGTCAGTAAAGTTTCCCTTCCTCTTGTGTTGTCCAATAGGTACTTAGAGCTGTAAGTGCAGTTCTGGTGGAGCCCTGATTACCTGAGCCTTGGACTCTGTTACTGTGAAATCCTTCTGGCACTGGGGACTGGATTCCCAGGACTCCTTGAGGAAGGAATTTAAGTACATTAGCCATGAGAGAAACTGTTCCACCAAACTCCTGATAGGCATTTAAACATCAGGTGGCAAAGTCCAAGTTTAGTGTTCAGAGGATCACACTGTAATTGAAAATATGAAATGGCAGGCCCACAGAGAAGGAAGACAGAATACAAATCTAAGTTCTGTTAATACCAGAACAGCAGAATTAATTTTCAGAGAGGTTTGTGCTACTTCTTATTTAACATCTGTAAATTTTACTGTAATTGGAATAGGGCATATCAACAGAAAGTGTTTAGGTGGCTTTGGAAACTATATGATGTCACATCACATAATTGTCATTAATAAATAATTAAAAACCAAACCAAAATCAAACAAAAAACTCCAAAGCACACACAAAAAAGCAGACAGCAAACCAACATCTTAAAACCAGAGAACTTTGAACTAGAAAATGTAGTAACTAATCTATAGAAGCCAGGACAAAAAATGCACTTCGACACAGGGAGAGACAGATGGGGCCTTCTGGATTATTTTAAACTAGTACCAGCTCTATTAATGTTTGTGTAATCAATTGACAGATTCACATGAAGACTATGCCAGCTGCCATGTTCAGGCTTCTAACAGGTCAAGAGACCCCTCTGTACATCTAACATCTTCCATCCAAGCTGAAGCTGTCACAGCTGAAGAGAATTTTGTATTTTGTATGAATGAAAGGCCTGGAAGCTGACCTGAGGACTCCAGAACAAGGAACAGACAGGTGTCTCTGCCTTTTCTCTCCTTCATTTCTATTTCTTTGACAAAAAGTGTTGAGAAGGATGGTCAAGGACAATAATCACTGACAAAAATCTTTGTAAACATTTAAGTATTTTGAACATCTTCTAAACTCTTTTCTCATAGAACTTAACACATATTTATTTGTAACCTTTATGTGGAGTGATGTATGTCTGTCTTGTTTGATAACACAGTGAATGTGAATATTTGATGAATGAGACTGCAGGAAATGGCAAAGAGAAGCAATTAGAGAAAGTTCTGGCTGCCTCAAGTTAAAAAAAAATCCCAGTCCCATAAAGTGGTCCAATACTGATGACTTTGCATAATTTTAAAACTGGTGCTGAATCAATGGTATTTCAGTGGAAAGGAATGTGTGCAGTTCAAACTTTTAGATTCTACTGTAAAGAAAACCACTGTAGTACTTGGTATTGTTATGACAAGTGTAACCTGTTTGGCAAGGTGTGAACATAAACATGTAACAAGTGTTTCATATGCTAAATAAAGAATAATTGCCACAAGGTTAAAATCAAAATATTTATTTAGATACATATTTATTTTTAATGCTTGTGATTTTTATGATTTAACAGAGTTATTTCATGGATAACTTATTGCACAGGTTGTGTAATGTATGTGTTGGGCTGGGGTTTTTTTTTCTTTAATTTTTGCATATTACCTTTTTGTTCATACTAAAAATGGGAAAGCCATGCTTACCTGTTTCTGTCTTTTATAAAGCATTCTTATTCCTAAGGCAATGTGTTCTGAATGTAAATTGTTTTGACAAATAACCTAGCACCATCAGCAGTATTAGAATGTGTGTAGATAAAAAAACCTAGTAGTAAAGTTGTATTCTTTATGAGATAAATGTTAATTGGTGTAACTTTTGTCTAATTTTTTTCTTTTGGCCAAGGCCTTGAAGAAAATACACTGTGACTTAAGAAGCCTTACCATGCAGTAACTAAAGAGCTTTAGATGACTGTACTTCAAGGAGTAGTGTGTTGCATGCAACTGACCTTAGGAAAGAATTAACCTATCACAAATAAATCTGAAATAAGAAAGGAAGCTTGCTCATTTTGTTTGTTGTGTAACTTTACATAGTAAAAATTCCAAGTAGAAGATCATTTAATTCTTCATCTAAGTGCAGTTGCAAAGGTCACAGATTATTTTTTAGAAAGGAAATATTCTCTTGAATTAGGAATTTGTGTATCATTATAATCTTGAGTAGAAGCTTTCAATTAGCATACCTTGTTGCCACTGGATGTCACTGTAACTTCACATCAATACAGAAGCATGCTATAATTAAAATACATTAAAATGGATGAATCTGTAAAACTTAAACTACCCATCTTCAGCTACGTTCCTTTGTGACCTTTTCACAGGATGTCTGCCCAGCTCAGAGTGACACAAATGAAACCAGTATATGATTAAACCTCAAATGGAAACTAAGCCTACTGACAAGCACTGCTGCAAAAAAATTAAAACCCCGAAACATCAACCTGTGGTAGGTTCTTTATGAGAACCTTCTGCTTAAGGCCTTTCCAATTTCCTCTGAAAGAGCCAGGATGATGCTTGCACTGGAAGACTTTGCTGGCAGACCTGTGTTTATGCTGGTAATGAAATCAGTGTCAATATTTACTTTCTGATATTTTTTTAAAGATCAATGTTAATAAATCATAAACACAGCAGAACCACAATAACGTGTTTTAGTAATAAAATTGTTAATACTATGAATTCGAGTAACAGTTCTTTTTGAAAATATTGAAGGCTCTGCTAGATAAAAATTCCTCTAATTTCCTTTCAGTTGGTGTTGGTAAATCATTTGTGAAAGATGCTTTTTGGAAATGCAGAACTTCAATCTTCTTCCCTAATGCATCTTTTGGTCACACACTGCAGAGGATTAAACATCAGTTCTTGGTTGCTCACACCAGTGCAGGACTGAACTTGTGAACATTCATAAGAAAGCAGGAATAAACCACACTGCAGCCAGTACTGGAGTTTAAAAGGGCAGCACTGGGAGGGGGCAGCGGTTTTAATTGGACAGTTGGTCTGGAATGAAAGACACTGGAAGAATGGATTAGAAGCGGCTCTGTATGTGTGTATAAATCACCTTTACGTTTGTATCCAAATCAGTTGTTGAAAAGGCAAAGTCCAGAAATACTTTTTTATTAAAACACTGACGATAGTTAAAACACTTTGAGGTACATTAAATAAATACAACTTTTTAGTTGTACAGCCAGTCTCTGGTGGGTTTGCAATGGTTTTCCAGAAATGCTGGGCAGCATCAGTAGCATTTCTGTAAGTACAGTGAAATAAATGCATTTCTCATTAGGAAAACATTTGTTATGACTGAATTAATAAATCAATTAAAAGTTTGCAAAAATCAAGGCTGAAATTTACATTCAGAAAAACAGCTGTTCTCATCCTGTTGTGGGGAAAAAAGTGGAATTCCAAAGGAAGACACTTTTTCCTTTTAAAGTCATCCACTACTTGTATTTCTCCCAGTCCTGGTTTCTTCCATAAGTGTCTCTGCTGGCATGACATACCTGTGGATAGTCTCAAAGGATGGTCTCCCGGCAGACTCCGATTAAACTGTGCGGCCTCTCCCGCTCCAAACCGCGGCTGAGCCGGGGCCGGCGTACGAGGGCAGCGGGGGAGCTCAGAGCGCCACAGCTCTGCAGGTGCAGATCTCCCTGCAGCCGCTTCCTGCAGCTGTTCACATTCTGCTGGGAACTCATAATTACCTGCAGAAAAAGGCAGGAGTGGAGAAGGAAGAAACGGGGAAAACAGAGTAAGGAAAGTTCTCATTTAAAAGGCTCAGTCTCTGAATAATATTTCATTTACCACTGAAACTCTTCCAAAGGAGGTGCAGTCCTCCAGAACCCCTCCAGCTTCTCTTGGTCAGGGCTCAGAACTGGGCACCCAGAAAAGCACAGCCAGGCTTTTTGTCTGAACTGCAGTGTAAAATGTATTGCTGCCCAATAAATACAAGTTATTTCTTACTAACACCATGTTACCATAAAAGACCTTCTGTAGGATTTGTCTGAAGAACTTAAACTGTAAAAACACTTAAATAAGGTATTTGTCTATGGAAATTGGACACATCTTTAGAACATCAGTGGCCTACCTGGTCTATGATATTGGCACTGAAGATGGCTTCTTCCATGTGTCTCTCATCAGATTTAATGACTGACCGTATGCTGTTCACTACGTGACGCACTTCTGGAGGGAGATTACAGTTTGAATGTTCCAAAAATTTTGCCACTAGAATTTTTGTGTCTTTATAGGCCTTAAGGTCCACTAAGGAGTGTGGCCGCTCTTTTGAGACTGTGTGAAAAGCCTTTGGCTTTAGGTGCAGATCAATTTTCCTTGTATCCCTCTGTTTTCCAGTTGGTAGGAAACTGCTCAAAGAATGCTGGCAAGCAGAGGCAGCCATATGACAACCAGAGACAGGAACTGAAAAAGTGGGGGGAAGAATATCTTTAAAGTAATAGTTTAAAAAAAGAAAAAGAGAAAAGAAAAAAAAAAGGCAAAACACAAACCATCACAAACTTTTTACTCTGTCATAAAGTGTCTGTTTTCTTCAAAGAGTAGCAAAAACGTGCAGTCAGGGAAACACTACAAAATGGGTCATTTTAACCAGGGTCAGGATTAAGACCTTCCCATGGCCAAGGACTGCCTTGAAACTGAGTGGGTGGGTAATTAAAGTACTTCACAAACCAGACATTTTTGTTACCTCCACCTTCAAGGACTTCAGCTGACATTAACAATAAGGAAACCCACCAGCTACTCTGTGTTATGTGTAACTCTTGAAGTTTTAGGGCCAGCCCTTTGCCACAACTTTAAGACTAAAGTTCTGCCTATTTCTAGGCCTTGGAAACTATACACAAGAGAAATTAGTGAGAAACACAGAGAAAGACACAAAAATACTGATCTAAACCAGAGGACCTAATTCACAGCATGTATTTTCATTCAAGGCAGGTTCCATCAGCATTGTACACCATACATGTGTGCTGTTAGCTGACTTTTCTGACACAGATTTTTCAAAGTTCTTTTTTCTCTCAGAAGCTTTTCATTATTTTTAAAAGGAAATAAAGAAACCCATCTTCTGCTTTAGAAAACCAATTCTCACCTGTTTCTCCTGTAGCTGGAGATAATCCTGCATCATGGCACTGCCTGCACACAGGAGTCCAGGCACAATTATCACCTTTAACCAAAGGCAGACAGAAAGAGCAAAGTCAACCCCTGCTGTCCTCTGCCCAAAGCAAGGTAAAATACACCGGAACCTTTTATTATCTCCTTTACAGAATGAAACTACTCAGAAGAAATACTGCTTTCAAGATGTTCATTCATAAAGAGAAGCTACTACACCCAGAAATGCCCTATGAGTTGTTACACAGATACAAATAGAAAGATAGAGCTCATGTTTTATGGTTTCCTCTGTAATCTTAAATATTTCAAGCCTAAGTGCTGAAACTATAAAGCTCCCTATAGAGGCAGACCTCAGAACTCTTCCGTATTTCCTGGGTGGACAGAGTTTATATTGGAAAATGGGAAAACCAAGGAAGATTAATCCCTCTTATTTCTACAAAACCAGCATTTTATTAAATATTTCTCATCCTTTTAAAAAATATATTATTATTTTCAGTAAAAATGTAATTTTTAAATTTCAATTTAAACAGTACACTGTTTAAATTAATGGGTAGGTGATGAGCCAATCAATAACAAGTGGTTATGAACAATCTACAGACAGCTTTGGATGCCACCTAATGAGTTTCTGGGATACCAGCATGAGGATCAATGATCACACTGTACACTAACTACCACTGCAGTCTTTTTAATTTGTGACAAGATGGAATAAACTCTCACATTTGGTTGTTTATCTGTTTCCAAGATTGAAAATGGTTTTGAACTTCTAGGTAGCTTAGGAGATGTTTTCCTCCATGTCTCCAGAGCCAGTTTCTAATGAAAAGCTGGCATAATCCTCTCTGGTAGAGTGAATAATTAAATGAAGGAAACAAATGTAAGATGCAACAAACATAGAAAATCTGTAAGAAATTAAGAGAGACAGCTTCTATTCTGTCTTTAATTTTTTCTATTATGGTTAAGTACTGCAGCACATGAATCATGGCACGGTTATTAAGAGGAGACTCTTCAGAGGTTCTGTTTTCCCATCCATTTCTAAACTGTTTAACACACTTGCAGCAAGTCAAAACTACACCACTGGCCATGACCCTAAATTATCTGGAACACAAACACTACAATAATCACTCAGGCACTTAACTGATACAGCCACATAGTCTATTATAGATGATTATAAATGAAGTTTATTGTAATAAACATCTGTGCTAGGAGTTGATTTTGTCCACCTTTGCCATGATAAGCTTTACAGGGACAAGGCAGAAAAAATGTGCCAACTATTAACTTTTAAGTAATTTTTTTTAGGAGGGAAATATGTCTGACAGTGGTATGTGAACCCACCATTTTTATGTTGTTCAGGAAGTATACAGTGAGTATAAAGGCACCTATTAAAACAAACCTTAATTTATAATTTCTCCAGTAGGAATGACAGACATTTCAAAACAAACAAGTTCACCTTCATTAAAGGTTTAATGGGAGAATTTGACTATACCATATAGACCCTATCAGGTCAAGATGTACTTGAAGTAAATGAATTGTGTTTCATTGTCCTAAAGGACTGGTAATTCATTAGATCTCATTGCTGTTGTGTCACTGTCCTGTTGCACATATGCACCATCCCCATGTCAAATAATTTATGTTCCAAACTATGGGCAGTGCATATGCACAGTAACATTCAAAACCCATTTCACAAAAAATCTACACAGTAAATGTCAAAGTTGTGCTTCTAAACCTCTTCACATTGGCTTGTGCAGGGAGGTGAAGGAGAAGATAAATTAGGATTTTTTTCCTATCGTAGAAACGCAGTGTCTTAAGAAAAACCCAAGCCCCAGCTGCAATATGACCACTGTATTTTCCCTTTTGTGAACATGGCTAAAGCTCCTCCAGCCCCAGTTCTCCAGAATCCACAGTTATTAGTATTAACAATGTGTAGTTACAGCTCTGTTTCGCATAAAGTCAAGTCCACTTGACCAGTTCTTTTACTCCAGGACAATTTTTAAAAGTAGGTGAATTTTTAAAAGTAGGTGAAAGCACTTTTTCTTGTGTGTTGGTTGAGGGAGCTCAGTTGGTTCTCTTTATCTTTGCCTATTATTAAATTCCATGGGTATATTTGAAAATTCTGCAGTGAATATCAACAGTCAGTCATGAAAAATCCAGATCAAATGCCTTTTTAAACTCACAAAGACTGTAAAGAGCTTCAGCTGTTTGTCACAGCTTAGGAAAAATACACTTCAGGGCTGCTACAAACACCAGAATGTGTTACTAGAATTGGGCTTCTTCTAATCTACGTATGATTTCCAAATCAGGTTCAATAAAAAGTAGAGGAAGGGGATGCAATGTAAACCTTCACAGAGTAAAATTTTGCAAACTAGTTTGCCAAACATATGCATGTTAGGCTTAACTAGAGACTCAACTCAATCCTTCCCTTAAGGATTTCATTGGGAAGTGTCTCCTGTAGGCATCAAAGCATGGCAAAGTAGGTCAGCACGCAGCCCCTCCGAGTCACTGCTCTTGCTCCCCTTCCCTGTGTCAGTATCTCTAGAACCTTCTCTGCCTCTTTACTCCAGTCTTTGCTAAGCCCAGTTTCACC